TTTGTGACACTTTGCGCGATGCACTTTTGCGTGCAGTCGGACATACTCGTGACGTTAATGAATGATTTCGTGAATGAGAGTCGACCGGAAAACTTGAACAAGAAGTTGGCCATTGTCGTGGAACATCAAATAAAAATAAGAAAGTGAGTTTTTTCTTGCGTACAATGATGAGGTCCGTTCGCTGATTCTTTAATGTAATTCTAACTTCACTAGAGACTATGTCAGAGCTTAATACGCGATAGTTCTACGCAAAATGGGTAACGTGTCATCAATTATCGAAGAAATTTTGGATTAGCAACTAATAATTTTTGTTAAACACGATTTTCATAGTTTTCTCGCCATACATTTTAGTTTCTTACAATTGGTGCAGAATGCCATTCAGTGTCCGAGTTTAATAGAAGTCCTGGGGTCTACTTTCATGCTATGCCTCATAGGATATTACGTGATCACGGTGCGCAGAAATATTTACGTAACGATGAGTTTTAAAGAAAATATAAGTATATAGATAAACGTGACATGGCAGAGTACTCTGCGTGGTGTCAAGTTGTACAAAAAAATTAATAAGATTGTTCAATTTACAGGAATGGGAAAATCATAATATTGTTGGACTGTGCTCAGTTACCCTTGGGCTAACAATGGTCTGTTTCAACATATTTATATATTGCTACATGGGCGAGCAAGTCGTCGATCAGGTATGTTGCCCGTTATTCACCATCGGAGACAATAACCGTAATAAAGCGGTATATCAGCGGAATGTTATTTCTTTCTGTTCGCATTACTGACGCTTGTAATTAATTAATAAAAATTAGGGAGACAAAGTCGCATTAACAGCATGTACCTTGGAATGGCATCATCTTCCGGATGCAAAAGCGCGATCATTGATTTTACTCATAATCATTTCTATAACTCCATTAAGACTTAAAGCAGGAAATATCATTGACCTGTCGCTCAAAACATTTGGCAATGTAAGTGACATAAATATTCTTTTAAACTTATCCACTGATAAAACTAACATAGAAGGTCTTACGGGAAGGAAGGGCAATTAATAACTGCATATGCATTTATTTTAGATTATTAGGATGTCCGTTACATATTTAAATCTTCTTCGATCACTTGACTAAACTTAAAGAATTAATCGTGATATATAGACTAGAACGTCTATCTGTGTGTTCCTTGTTAACTCCTAAATCCTTTGACCGATCTGGACTAAATTTTGCACAGTTACTCTCTAGATCTCTGCGGAAAATGTAGGTTACCATGAAACCTGTAAACACCCTACTTTTTTCACAAATAATTTCATCCCTTTGAGATTTCGTTAATCCCGAGCAATACCAAGTAATTTAAGCTAATCGTAATTATAAAAATAAACAATAACAATAAAAATATGTACTTATAAATCAGAAGTAATAATATAAAAAAATAATATTTTTCTTGTTTAAATATCTCCGTTTTAAATAAAAAATTAAAATATATTTGCAAATGTTTATAATCATATACAAATCTCGTTATATAATTCTTGACTTACTGACATATTTTTTATTCATCTAATGAACGCGCATATAAAATAGTAAAAATATCCAGATATAAATATATTTCAAGATTTATTTAAAAGATATAAGAGTAAGTAAATAATAATAATAAGTAAAACACGATCGTATAATATACAATCAATTGACCAAGATCCAAGCTACCAAGATTTAATCCAGATCGTAAATGGAGATTATTTTCTTTATTTAGGTAAGTAAATACTTATTAGATAACTATAAAACATGAAGACTTTTCGTTTCAATAACTAGGAAAACTGTTTACACTTTTTATGTATTTTTTTATTATTCCAACGCACTCTCAAACTTACATAATTCATACATTTATCAAATTATGTCACAAGTGACTGATTCTACCATTTATTATAATATAAAATATTATACATAAAACATATTTGAAATCCTTAAAACATTCGATGCTTATTTTAACATGATTTGAACTATAATAAATAATTATCGATTGAATGTCCGTTGAAATCAGAACGTGAGATATGTATACACATTTTTCCTTAATATCATACCGAATAAGTGAGATATGATATGTTTGAAAAACTATGATAAAATAATAAGAAAATAACTGTGAGATATTATTCTTGTTTTCTAGGTCATGAAAACAGCTGTTATATATTTTAACATACTTCTACATAAATGGAACTGACTGAACATTTCTGTTTTATCTCCTTCTTTATCATGAAACTACGATCACAAACTCATCATAATGGTAACAAAATTTGGTATAATGTACATACAGAATATACTTATATATATATTTGATTTTGACATAATTCTTTTATATAAAAAAGTGTATATAAAAATTTTGTGTTTTTTAGTGCGGTTTAACTATATATTAAAATTTTTATATTAAAATGGAAAGCAGTTTAATCATTAATTAAGTTATGCAGTTACTATTTTATCTCTTTACATAATCTCTATTTTCATTTCATTGCAATTGTTGCGGCCCCAATT